GCCGCGGCGGCGGAGGGGCGCGCCGGCGTTCGGGCGGCGGCTGGAAGTCCCGGGAGCGCCCAAGCGCCTTGGGGCCGCGTCGGCCGAATGTGCGGCCGTTCCCCCACAGCGCGCGCGGGGGGGCCCTGCTTCCCGCGTATGTAAAGCACGTGGCTGCTGCCGCCAATGCCCGGGTTGGCGGCCCCAGGATGTGACCAAGTGGTCCCCGGGGTATAACGCTAACGTCGGCCGGCTCGCTCCCGCGGGCGGGTGGTGCGGCTTTCGGCGCTCTGAGGGGCCCTTGGCACCGGCCTCGGAACCCCAGCGGGGCAAATCGCCGAGGTCGCGCTGCCCGCGCGTGGGGGCGGAGCCCAGTGCAAAGATCTGGGAATCAAGAAGTTGTCTGCATGCGCAGCGGCGGGGGGGCCGCTCTGCGACTTGGACCCCCCCCCTCCCTCTGTCGCAATCCGAGACTACAGGAAACGCGGGGTGTGTAGTCTTGGCCAGGGACGCAACCGGTGGGGGGGGCAGGCCCGGCTACACAGACTTGTGGGGCTAACCGGGCCTGCCCCTCCCCTTGCTAGGTGCCTGCGCTGGTCGTCCGTCTTCGTCAGCGCCGCCCCCCTTCGCTGGTTTAGACCCGAGCCGACGCCCCGGGAACCGCGCCCGCGCCCGCTGTGCGAGGCTGTGGTTTGGGGCTGCTGCCTGGCCTTGCGGGCTAGGCTGGGCGCATAACCACCGCTCGCTGGCGGGCGTTGGGGTGGTCTCCGGGAACCGCAGGCGCGGGTGTTTGCTGGCGCGGGGGGTGGGCAGGCGGCGCTCCGCTGCGAGGGGGCGCGGGGGGCCCCGTCCCGAAGGTGGGGGGGCCGCTGGAGGAACGCGGGTGGGGGGCGCTGGAGAGGGGCGGGGCGAATTCCGTGTAACTCACGCGCGCGCGTCGCTTGCTCAGAGTGCGCGCCAATGGGGTTCCCCCCCCTCGCGCCCGTGCTCCGTCGGTTACGCTTGCCCCGGCTTTGGGCTGGGTCGGGCGCGGGCTTGCGGAGCTGACCGAGTCGGGCGGAGGGGCGGGGGGGGAACTTGACCGCCGGCGTGGCCATTTGGGCCAAGCGCGCGCTCCGCGCGCCCCGGGGGGGGGGGGCATTGACTGTGGAAATCAGTTCTCCCACCCACCACCCACGAAAGGGGGGGAACCAGCAGATGAGCTGAGTTCGGGGTGGACGCGGCGCTGGAACGGGGACATCTCGACTCCCGGGCGATCCAGCGCAGCCGCGTGACCGGAGCAGGCCCGCGGCCCGACGCGTGTACAAACGTCGGGGGCCAGGCCCGCGGGGCTAACCGGGCCTGCCCCTCTCCCTTGCTAGGTGCCTGCGCGGCGCGAGCGCCCGCGAGGCCAGGACTGCACCTCCCCGTGCTTCGGCAGTCCTGAAAGGGCACCCCTCCGCTCCCCCCCCCCGCGGTCGTCCGTCCTCGTCAGCGCCGCCCCCCTTCGCTGGTTTAGACCCGAGCCGACGCCCCGGGAACCGCGTCCGCGCCCGCTGTGCGAGGCTGTGGTTTGGGGCTGCTGCCTGGCCTTGCGGGCTAGGCTGGGCCCATAACCACCGCTCGCTGGCGGGCGTCGGGGTGGTCTCCGGGAACCGCAGGCGTGGGTGTTTACTGGCGCGGGGGGTAGGCAGGTGGCGTTCCGCTGCGAGGGAGCGCGGGGGGCCCCGTCCCGAAGGTGGGGGGGCCGCTGGAGGAACGCGGGTGGGGGGCACTGGAGAGGGGTGGGGCAACTGCCGTGTAACGCGCGCGCACACGCGTCGCTTGCTCAGAGTGCGCGCCAATGGGGGTTCCCCCCCTCCCCCCCTCCCCCCCCGCACGTCCGTGCTCTGTCGGCATCGTGCGGCGACTTTGTCGTGGTGAGTATGCCTCTGATGCGTGTGCGCGGCTCGCGCGTGCGAAGCATGTGTGTGCATATGTTTAGTGTGCGTATGTATGATGCGCGTGTGAGCGTGGAATGGGGGAGTGGTGAGGAGGGGCGAGGAGGAGATGTTGGTGAGCGCGGGTGCCGCGCAGGTGGGAAGAATTCCAAAACCCCAGTTCACATGTGCGGACAAAGCGGTCGGAGGAGGTGAGGAGATGAGGAGGAGAGGGGAAGCCGTGGCTGGGACGCGGGTGGGAAGAGCACAGTACATCCATGAAGCATGTGGGGCATGATCGTCGAGCGCCCGCGCATGATCCATATTCTAGTCCACAGCGCACTTTGCATAGTTTTTTGCGATGGACGGTGGGGGGGTGGGGTGGCATTGCGCACAGCAAGCAATGGACCTGCATCCCTGTCGTACCTGTCAACAACCAATGTACTGTGATCGCAGGGCGTCCTCGCATGATCCAGATGTTGATGCAGTTTGCATGTTGTCCTGTTTTTTGTGTGCAAGGGATGGTGGGGGGGCACTGTCCTGGGGGAGGGGGTGGCGCTTCCCCGAAGGGGCAGAGGCAACCCCGTAGGCTATTCACGCCCAGAGGGCTGGTGGGATTACAGTCGCCCTTTCTGGACACTGCCAGACGCAGAACAAGTGCTGCCAGTTGCCTGCTGTCCTGGGGGTCCAGTGGACTCTGGCTATTTACACGCAGTCCCAGACCAGCTGGAGGGCATTTCGCAGGGGCGCCACGAATGCCATATTCAGGACAAAGTGCTTCCCGCCGATTCTGGCTCAAGCAACATCCTGATCTGGTGCTTGCATCACACGATACTTCACTGGCTAGCTAACTCTTCTGTCGTTCGCGGAAGCAACCTGCTTCGACCTGTCTGATGATGGCGGCCCAGAAGGCCTCCTGCATCGTGTGGTTGGTCGGGCTGCTGGCCCACAGCGTGCCCACCGCAGTGTCTCTCTACACGGGGCCCAATCTCAGCGTGACGGGAGATCTGATGACGTCACCCGCGACTGAGACCTCTGCGTGGTCCTGCACCTCGGTCGGGGCGGGCAGCTTCTCCGCCCAGTACAACTCCTACATCTCTGGCAGCACCATCGTTGTTACCAACAATGCGGGAAACCAGCGGGGGCGAGCATACTACACGTGGGCAAACACGGGGGGGTTCAGGATCAGCTTCGACATGTACCAGGGCGGTGGGACAGGCGCAGACGGCGTGGTATTGCAGACTCTGCCCCGCAGGGGGCGCCTGTGCTGTCGCGGGGACGGGGCGTTGTGCCGCGCCCCTGCCGGGGGCCCTGTGCTTGCCGCGGGGAGGGGGCGTGTGCGTGGTGCTGTCCCGCGGCACATTCGTGCTGTTCCCCGCAGGGGGCGCTTGTGTTGCCGCGGGAATAGGGGGGGGGGGATCCTGCGGCGCGGAGCCTGGCCCACGCGGGCGCCTGCGGTCGGCGAGCGACGCGGGCGCCTGCGCGACGCGACGCCACCAGGGGCTCGGCTCTCCGTCCGCAGACGCCCGCGTGGTCCCGCCTCAGCGCGTGCCCAGGGCCGTGCAGGATCCGGTGCTCCGCCTGCACGACCCCCCCGCGACAACACGACACCCCTCTGCGGGGGACGACGCAATGGTTACCGCCCCTTTCCCCGCGGCAGCACAGCAGTACCCCGCCTGCGGGGGACAATGACAAACGAGTGCTCCTCCCCGCGACAATGCCATACCCCCCGCGAAGGCGGTGCAATACCATGCCGTGTAGGTGCTGACGGTATGTGCATGAAGTACGGAGGTTATGATTATGGCGAACAAGGCGAGCTAATCGCCGGGAATGGCTTTTCTGTATGCTTTGATTCCTACAGCAATGGCAACGATCATGGCGTGGTGATGGGATGGAATGGCGTGATCATATTTTCAGAAACAGGCACGGGATACTGGAGTCACCAAGTTCCCCTCTTCGAGGATTCCACTTGGCACAATGTAGTGGTGCAGGTCACGCCCAGTGGCAGCGGAGCTAATGTGATACTGAATTTTGACAACGGTTACTACTACAAAACTGCGTGGATCAGTAGCTTCTCCTCGCCAGTTGGTAGCCAACAGGTAGCCTTCACTGCAAGAACTGGTGGTTCTACCAACTGGCACTATGCCAAGAACGTCCAGGTGTGCAGCGTTGCGACTCCGAGCCCAACGCCGTACCCGACGCCGTACCCGACGCCGTACCCGACGCCCAACCCGACGCCAAACCCGACGCCGTACCCGACGCTGTACCCGACGCCGAACCCGACGCCGAACCCGACGCCCAACCCGACGCCCAACCCGACGCCCAACCCGACGCCGTACCCGACGCCGTACCCGACGCCCAACCCGACGCCCAACCCAACGCCGTACCCGACGCCCAGTCCGACGCCCAACCCGACGCGCAATCCGACGCCGTACCCGACGCCGTACCCGACGCCCAATCCGACGCCGAACCCGACGCCCAATCCGACGCCGTACCCGACGCCCAATCCAACGCCGTACCCGACGCCCAATCCGACGCCCAACCCGACACCCAACCCGACGCCGTACCCGACGCCGTACCCGACGGCCTTCCCGACGCCGTTTCCGACGCCGTACCCAACGTCGTACCCGACGGCCTTCCCGACGCAGTACCCGACTGCCTTTCCGACGCCGCACCCGACACCGTACCCGACGCCGTACCCGACGGCCTTTCCAACGCCGTACCCGACGGCCTTTCCGACGCCGTACCCGACGGCCTTTCCGACGCCGTACCCGACGGCTTTTCCAACGCCTTTCCCGACGCCGAGCCCGACGCCCAGCCCGACGTATCCTCCAGGTTGGCCGACGCCACATCCGACGTTTCCCGCGGCGCCCGTGGCTGGCGGCGCAGCTGGCGGAGGCGCGGCTGCCACTGGCGACCCACACCTTCAGAACGTTCATGGCGAGCGGTTCGATTTGATGCAGCCGGGCACACATGTTCTGATAAACATTCCCCGTGGGATGAGCGCTGAGAATGCAATGCTTCGTGTGCAAGCCGATGCGCGCCGACTGGGCGAACGTTGCGCGGACATGTACTTCCAGCAAGTGAACGTTACAGGGTCTTGGGCGGAGGCCAAGCGAGCAGGAGGATATCATTACAGCGTATCACAGAGCGCAGCCGATACTCCAGAATGGGTTGCTTTTGGTACGGTTCAGCTGAAAATCGTTCATGGACGTACGGGCAATGGCCTCCAGTATTTGAATGTTTACGTCAAGCATTTAGGGCGAGCAGGGCTTGCCGTAGGAGGTCTGCTAGGCGAAGACGACCACAGGGACGTGATGATTCCACCAGCGTCTTGTGTCAAGCATACGTCCCTGCTAGAAGTGAGCAGCCAGACTCTTCCTTCCGTGTCGTCGGTTGCAATGGCAACCTTCGCGTGAGCATGCTATGCACTTTGGAAGATTTGTACGCGAGAATTTGCGATGGTCTTTTGGCCTGTGTCCGGGTCCGACCCTTTCTTGGCGCCAACGACTTCCCACATTCTGTTCCAGGAGCTGGTGGTCAGTTTTCGTTTGGATTCGCATTACACTATCAGAAATTACAACGTGTTGAATGCCATACATTATAACGCGTGGCGTGACAGTACTAGTGAGAGTACTATCACGCCGTTGGCTGTTCCCTACCTGACTTCGCACTGGATCTCACTGACATCATCATGCGGATCATTTGTCGATCGTCGTGTTTCGCCACTGCGTGTCGAGATTCACTCGAAGACAGATCCGCCGCATCTGACCAGTGGACCGGATGGCCGGGCCATCGGCCGCCCACGAGCTTCTCGACACGCCGCATGGGAAGAAGATCACATGCGGCTAGGCCAGGGGCGACATCCTGGGCCCCAGTCCAGATTCCTCCGCCTCCCCTCCAGTGCCCACCCCGCTTTTGCTCTGTCAAGTTCGTCAGCGATTCGTCGATCGGCGCGTCTCAAGTCTTGATGACTCGAGCATCTCCACCAGCCCATCCCAGAAAAGATGTCCCGGAGAGGTGCCTTGATCAGGGAGGCGTCGGAGCGAGCGCAGTGGACCAGGGGGGTGGGCGGGGGCCAGCCGTTAGTTCGCAGCTCGGGATGGGATCCGCCCGAGCAAGCCGATGAATAAATTCCAGGCCTCCGATGTGGAGCGAAATTCACTTCGTTTTTCACTCGCCGCTTCGGGGTCTTGCATTGACAGAAATCCGCGCAAAAATCCGCTGCAGCACGTCTGCAAGGTCGGTGCAGCGAAACCTTCAGATGAGGACTCGGAGGTTGATCGACCTCCTACCCTGACACGTCGATGAGTGAATTGGCCGTTTTCGGTTCGCGAGAGGGCGTCGCGGCCGTTCTTTTTGCGGGTCCTAGGCCGTTTTCACGAAAGGGTGGTTTATTAAAGGGAGGTTTGTCCCACCGCCGAAGGAAAAGGTTCTCATGCCTCTACCTTTCGGGAATCGAACCGCGGGTCTGGGCCTGTCGGTAGTGTGTGCGTGTGTGTGTGTGTGTGTGTGTGTGTGTGTGTGTGTGTGTGTGTGTGTGTGTGTGTGTTGGGGGGCTCCGAGGCCCCTTGGGTTAAGTCGGACGCGTCCCCCTGTAGGAGGAGTATTTAGAGATAATCCAAAAATAGTCAGGGGACGATCTGTTTCCATTATTATTGCCTATGTCTTTTTGGGGGCTTACTTTTCATTTTTCATCCACAGTCCGCCTGTAGGGGGACATGCCCGACCTAACCCTTGGGTCAGCCTCTGGGCCGCCTGGGGCCTCCTGGGGCCATGCAGGAGGCCAGATCGAGCCAGTTTGGACCACCTTGTGTCAGCGAGAGGCCATCTTCAGGCGTGTGGGGTCATCTTGGAGCCATCGTGCGGTGACTTTGTCGTGGTGAGTATGCCTCTGATGCGCGTGCGCGGCTCGTGCGTGCGAAGCATGTGTGTGCATATGTTTAGTGTGCGTATGTATGATGCGTGTATGAGCGTGTATGTGTATGATGACGAGGGGTGAGGAGGAGATGTTAGTGAGCGCGGGTGCCGCGCAGGTGGGAAGAATGCCAAAACCCCATTTCACATGTGCGGACAAAGCGGTAGGAGGAGGTGAGGAGAAGAGGAGGAGAGGGGAAGCCTTGGCTGGGACGCGGGTGGGAAGAGCACAGTACATCCATGAAGCATGTGGGGCATGATCGTGGAGCGCCCGCGCATGATCCAGATTCTAGTCCACAGCGCACTTTGCATAGTTTTTTGCGATGGACGGCGGGGGGGTGGGGTGGTGTTGCGCACAGCAAGCAATGGGCCTGCATCCCTGTCGTACCTGCCAACAACCAATGTACTGTGATCGCAGGGCGTCCTCGCATGATCCAGATGTTGATGCAGTCTGCATGTTGTCCTGTTTTTTTGTGCAAGGGATGGTGGGGGGGCAGTGTCCTGGGTTTGTCGCCGGTCGGGTGGGGGAGGGGGTGACGCTTCCCCGAAGGGGCAGAAAGGGGGTGTGGCAGAGGCATTTCCTTGGGCTACTCACGCCCAGAGGGCTGGTGGGATTACTGTCGCCCTTTCTGGACACTGCCAGACGCAGAACAAGTGCTGCCAGTTGCCTGCTGTCCTGGGGGTCCAGTGGAGTCTGGCTATTTACACGCAGTCCCAGACCAGCTGGAGGGCATTCCGCAGGGGCGCCACGAATGCCATATTCAGGACAAAGTGCTTCCCGCCGATTCTGGCTCAAGCAACATCCTGATCTGGTGCTTGCATCACACGATACTTCACTGGCTAGCTAACTCTTCTGTCGTTCGCGGAAGCAACCTGCTTCGATCTGTCTGATGATGGCGGCCCAGAAGGCCTCCTGCATCGTGTGGTTGGTCGGGCTGCTGGCCCACAGCGTGCCCACCGCAGTGTCTCTCTACACGGGGCCCACTCTCAGCGTGACGGGAGATCTGATGACGTCACCCGCGACTGAGACCTCTGCGTGGTCCTGCACCTCGGTCGGGGCGGGCAGCTTCTCCGCCCAGTACAACTCCTACATCTCTGGCAGCACCATCGTTGTTACCAACAATGCGGGAAGCCAGCGGGGGCGAGCATATTACACGTGGGCAAACACGGGGGGGTTCAGGATCAGCTTCGACATGTACCAGGGCGGTGGGACAGGCGCAGACGGCGTGGTATTGCAGACTCTGCCCCGCAGGGGGCGCCTGTGCTGTCGCGGGGACGGGGCGTTGTGCCGCGCCCCTGCCGGGGGCCCTGTGCTTGCCGCGGGGAGGGGGCGTGTGCGTGGTGCTGTCCCGCGGCACATTCGTGCTGTTCCCCGCAAGGGGGCGCCTGTGTTGCCGCGGGAATACGGGGGGGGGGATCCTGCGGCGCGGAGCCTGGCCCACGCGGGCGCCTGCGGATCGGCGAGCGAAGCCAACCCGCGCAGCTCCGAGCGGAGCGCCCGCGCGGACCGGGCCCTGCGCCTGCCCCGGGGCCGGGCCTCCGGGGCTCCGGCTCTCTGGCCACGCGGGCCCCTCCTGATGCCCCGGAGCTGCGCGACGCGACGCCACCAGGGGCTCGGCTCTCCGTCCGCAGACGCCCGCGAGGTCCCGCCTCGGCGCGTGCCCAGGGCCGTGCAGGATCCGGTGCTCCGCCTGCACGACCCCCCCCGCGACAGCACGACACCCCTCTGCGGGGGACGACGCAGTGATTGCCGCCCCTTTCCCCGCGGCAGCACAGCAGTACCCCGCCTGCGGGGGACAATGACAAACGAGTGTTCCTCCCCGCGACAATGCCATACCCCCCTCGAAGGCGGTGCAATACCTTGCCGTGTAGGCGCTGACGGTATGTGCATGAAGTACGGAGGTTATGATTATGGCGAACAAGGCGAGCTAATCGCCGGGAACGGCTTTTCTGTATGCTTTGACTCCTACGACAACGGCAACGATCACGGCGTGGTGATGGGATGGAATGGCGCGACCATATTTTCAGAAACAGGCACGGGATATTGGAGTCACCAAGTTCCCCTCTTCGAGGATTCCACTTGGCACAATGTAGTGGTGCAGGTCACGCCCAGTGGCAGCGGAGCTAATGTGATACTGAATTTTGACAACGGTTACTACTACAAAACTGCGTGGATCAGTAGCTTCTCCTCGCCAGTTGGTAGCCAACAGGTAGCCTTCACTGCAAGAACTGGTGGTTCCACCAACTGGCACTATGCCAAGAACGTCCAGGTGTGCAGCGTTGCGACTCCGAGCCCAACGCCGTACCCGACGCCGTACCCGACGCCGTACCCGACGCCGTACCCGACGCCGAACCCAACGCCTTTTCCGACGCCGTACCCAACGTCGTACCCGACGGCCTTCCCGACGCAGTACCCGACTGCCTTTCCGACGCCGTACCCGACACCGTACCCGACGCCGTACCCGACTGCCTTTCCAACGCCGTACCCGACGGCCTTCCCGACGCCGTACCCGACGGCGTTTCCAACGCCGTACCCGACGGCCTTTCCAACGCCGTACCCGACGGCCTTCCCGACGCCGTACCCGACGGCGTTTCCAACGCCGTACCCGACGGCCTTTCCAACGCCCTTCCCGACGCCGAGCCCGACGCCCAGCCCGACGTATCCTCCAGGTTGGCCGACGCCGCATCCGACGTTTCCCGCGGCGCCCGTGGCTGGCGGCGCAGCTGGCGGAGGCGCGGCTGCCACTGGCGACCCCCACCTGCAGAACGTTCACGGCGAGCGGTTCGATCTGATGCAGCCGGGCACACATGTTCTGATAAACATTCCCCGTGGGATGAGCGCTGAGAATGCAATGCTTCGTGTGCAAGCCGACGCGCGCCGACTGGGCGAACGTTGCGCGGAGATGTATTTCCAGGAAGTGAACGTTACAGGGTCTTGGGCAGAGGCCAAGCGAGCAGGAGGATATCATTACAGCGTATCACAGAGCGCAGCCGATACTCCAGAATGGGTTGCTTTTGGTACGGTTCAGCTGAAAATCGTTCACGCACGTACGGGCAATGGCCTCCAGTATTTGAATGTTTACGTCAAGCATTTAGGGCGAGCAGGGCTTGCCGTAGGAGGTCTGCTTGGCGAAGACGACCACAGGGACGTGATGATTCCAACAGCGTCCTGTGTCAAGCATACGTTCCTGTCAGAAGTGAGCAGCCAGACTCTTCCCTCCGTGTCGTCGGTTGCAATGGCAACCTTCGCGTGAGCATGCGATGCACCTTGGAATATTAGTACGTGAGCATGAGGGATGGTCTTTTGGCCTGTGTCCCGGCCCGATCTTCTCTTGGCTCCAACGACTTCCCACACTCGGTTCCAGGAGCTGGTGGTAAGCATTCATTTGGATTTGCATTATACTAGCAGAATGTCATTATTTATAACACGTGGCGTGATAGTACTAGTGAGAGTACAATCACGCCGTTGGCTGTTGCCTACCTGACTTCGCACTGGATCTCACTGACATCATCATGCGGATCATTTGTCGATCGTCGTGTTTCGCCACTGCGTGTCGAGATTCACTCGAAGACAGATCCGCCGCATCTGACCAGTGGACTGGATGGCCGGGCCATCGGCCGCCCACGAGCTTCTCCACACGTGGCATGGGAAGAAGATCGCATGCGGCAAGGCCAGGGGCGACATCCTGGGCCCCAGCCCAGATTCCTCCGACTCCCCTCCAGTGCCCACCCCGCTTTTGCTCCGTCAAGCTCGTCAGCAATTCGGCGATCGGCGCGTCTCAAGCCTTGATGCTTCGCGCACCTCCACCGGCCCATCCCAGAAAAGATGTCCCGGCGAGGTGCCTTGATCAGGGAGGCGTCTGAGCAAGCGCAGTGGACCAGGGGGGTGGGCGGGGGCCAGCCGTCAGTTCGCAGCTCGGGATGGGATCCGCCCGAGCAAGCCGAGGACTACATTCCAGGCCTCTGATGTGGAGCCACGCGAAGTTCACTTCGTTTTTCACTCGCCGCTTCGGGGTGTTGCAGGTGCCTCGATCGGGGAGGCGTCGGAGCAAGCGCAGCGGAACATGGGGGGGGGGGGGCGGGGGGGCAGCCGTCGGACCCCGAAGCTCGGGACGGGACTTGAGACCGAGCAAGCAGAGGAACAGCTTCCGGGCCTCCGCATGCGGCTCGGTGTGGAGCCCGTGGTGTCCCCACGCCGACGTCGCCGTTGCGTCGCCGTCGCATCGGCGATGCATCGGCGATGCATTGGCGATGCGGCGCGATCCTTCGACCCCATCTATTGGGCCTCCTCTCGGAGGCCTCCAGAAGTGCCTGGCCGGGCTCCTGCGGTATGTATGGGAGCCTCTGGGCAGCTTGCCTGGAATCTTGGGGTCAGTCTGGAAGCCTCTGGCGCTCGTTGGGGTCCTCCTGTGGCTTTCTCGGGGCTCTCCTTGGGAGCCCTCCGGGCCTTTTGAGGCCATCCTGGAGGACGTCAGGCAAACAAAAGGGCGGACCAGATGTCTGCCCCCCCGTCGCCGCCCGAAGAGTCGCCTCCTGGGGCCCTCTTGAGGCGCTCTTGGGCTGCTCTCGGGGGCCTCTCGGAGTCGTCGATGGGCCCCCCCTGGTGCCTCCTGCAGACGCCTTTTTCGCTCTGACGGTGCGGGGGTTTCTCGGCGGTGCGGTTGTACCTCCGAGGGCCCGCTGGCGGACACGCCAGTGTCCCGGCCCGGCGAGTGCGGAGGCGCGCGAGAAGCGCGGCTTGGTGCTGGTCAGGGGCCGGCAGCTCATCCAGCAGATCGGGGAGCGCTTCCCGTTTCACAGGGTCTACACGCACGAGGTCCCGTTGCTTCCCTCCTGTCCCGCCGACGAGCTGGAGAGGAGGTCGCGGGGACGGCGACGGCGATGGGGGGGGTAGTGAGGACGACGGTGGCGACGACGAGGGTGCTGATGATTGTGAGACTATGGAATGATAGGATGACGGTAATGGTGATGCCGATGGTGTTAACGATGGTGGCGAGGAGATGGTGGTGAGGACCATGGAGGTTGTGATGGCGATGATAGGGATGAGGATGGCGATGGTGATGGTCATGCTGGTACTGGTGCTGGCGAGTGAACGCATGAGGATAGACATGGTGCTGACGACTGGTGACGGCGACAACGACAACCGACGACGACAAAAATGATGACTGGTGATGTTGACGACGACTGCCGACGACGACGACAGCAGTGGTGGTGATGATGGTGCCGGGGGGGGGGGGCGGGGGCGGGAGCGGGGCCAGGCAGATGCCGCAGGGGCCGGGGGTGCGCGCCAGGGTGTGAGGAGCAGGAGGAGCAGGAGGAGCAGGAGGAGGAGGAGGAGGAGGAAGAGGAGGAGGGGGAGGAGGAGAACAAACATCACGACAATAGTTTTTTCCATATTTTTGGCCGCTGGGGGCCCTTACAGGACATCGGGAACGTCAGATAACGACTCCGGATGAAGAGCCGACCAGGGAATTGGTAGAGGCCTTTGGAAAGGGGGGAGGAGAGAGGAGGAGGGGGAGGAGGAGGAGGAGGAGGAGGGGAGGAGGAGGAGGAGGAGGAGGATGAGGAGGAGGAGGAGGAGAGGAAGGAGCAGGAGCAGGAGCAGGAGGAGCAGGAGGAGCAGGAGGAGCAGGAGGAGAGGCGGAGGAGGAGGAGGAGGGAGGAGAAGGATGAGGAGGGGGGAAGGAGGAGGCGGCGGAGGCGGCGGCGGAGGAGGAGGAGGAGGAGGAGGCGGCGGCGGAGGAGGAGGAGGAGAGTCAGGACCGCGCCCCGCAGGCGCGGGACGCGTGGGGGGGCTACGCGGCAGAACGGGTCGTGCGCGTCGAGCGCGGCGTGCTGAAGCACGTGCTCATCCGCCCGGGCAGGGGCCGCGTCTCCAGGCCCTCCTCTCTCTCTCTCTCTCCCTCCCTCCTCTCTCTCTCTATTCCTCCTCTTCCACCTCCTCAAGCTCGTCCTCCTCCTCCTCCTCCTCCTCCTCCTCCTCCTCCTTCTCTCTCCTCCCCTCTCTCCTCCATTCCTTTTCCTCATGAGCAACTCCCTGTCGCACCCCAAGGCCAGTCCAAAGTCCGGGCCAGGCGTTTCCGCCTCAGGTTTCCTCACCACTTATGACCCTAAAGCTGAAGAGTTGACAGCAGTTTCACCGATGGAAGGCGGGTCGCTTCCAAAATGTGGCCCTCGCGTGAGTGCCGCGCTATACACACATATAGATATACATATATATATATATATCTCAGAGTGAGGGGGGGCGAACGGTCATTCACTGTCCCTAGGTGCGTGGCTGAAGTGGGATTCTGCGGTGCGGATTCTCGTTGTTGTTGTTGGTGTTGTTGTTGTTGGTGTTGTTGTTGTTGTTGTTGTTGTTGCTGTTGGTGTTGTTGTTGTTGTTGCTGTTGTTGTTGTTGAACATTATTAATTCTAAAGAATAATTATTGTTGGGCCCCCTGGTGCGCGCCCCCCCCGCCGCGCCTAGGCCGCAGCCACGTTTTCATCATTTTCGTGAGGAAGCCTCAGGTAATTCGAGGTGATCAAGATCCGGTTGTTTTGTTGTAATCCGTTTTCCCTTGCAAAAAACACTATAAAATGAAATTTCTTGTTCTAATATAATCAAATTTCAAGAATCCCTTGCAAAAAATAAGGTAAAGTGGACATTCGCGCGCGCAAGACGAAATCCTTCCAAAAGCTTAGTGTTCGGAGCGATTTTAACATAAAAACATCAAAAAACCAATGGTTTTTCAACAAAAAAATGTCAAAATCTCATCCCGCGCGCTCTTGCGGATTCGTAGGAAAACCCAACACTTTTTAAACATTTCTGTCAAACGGGCTTTTGCGAGCAACTTTTTCGAACTTCTGCGACAACGGTTGCGCACCTGCCAGGGCCATCATCCCTGTCAAATAATACCATGCGGGACACATTCGTTTTTTCTTCGCGCGCGCACGCCGAAATCTCCAAAAACCATTGGGTTCTGTGGGTGTGTACCCCACGCCAGTGTAGTAGCCACGGTCGTCCGCACGCCACGAAGTGAAGTGTCCCAACGTCATAGGGCGGGAAGCTGGGTTTGGGTGGTCGCGAAGAGTCGTTTGGATATTTGGTAGAGCTTGTAATGCCCCCCCACGAAGTGGGGGTATTGCCTGGTGTCGTATGAAAACCCTGGCACTGGGGAGAACACCACGCGTTCGGGTAAAATGATTGTTGTTGTTGTTGTTGTTGTTGTTGTTGTTGTTGTTGTTGTTGTTGTTGTTGTTGTTTGTTGTTGTTGTTGTTGTTGTTTTTGTTGTTGTTTTTGTGTCGTCGTCGTCCCACCCGCAACCCGCCCCGCGAACCCGCCCCGCGACCCACCCCGCGACCCACCTGCACGCCCCCGCGACCCACCCCGCGACCCCCCCGCGACCCCCCGCGCCCACCACCCACCCGCGACCCACCCGCGACCCACCCCGCGACCCACCCCGCGACCCACCCCGCGACCCCCGCGACCCACCCGCGACCCACCCCGCGACCCACCCTCGACCCAACCCGCGACCCACCACGCGACCCACCCGCGACCCACCCGCGACCCACCCGCGACCCACCCCGCGACCCACCCGCGACCCACCTTCCTTCAACCCAAACCACGTTCAAGGTACAAACCACCATTTTCGGCGCCTGCGGCGGGCTTTTTTTCATCCCTTCCAGGTGGAGAGCCCGCGACCCACCCCGCGACCAACTCGCGACCAACCCGCGACCCAAACCACGTTCAGGGTACAAACCACATTCTTCGGCGCTTGCGGCGGGCATCTTTTGCATCCGTTTCAGGTGGAGGGCCCGCGGCCCACCCGCGACCACGTTCAGGGTACAACACAATTTGTTCGGCGCCTGCGGCGGGCATCTTTTGCATCCGTTTCAGGTGGAGAGCCCGCGGCCCACCCGCGACCCATTCCATGTTCAGTGTACAAACCAAATGTTTCGGCGCCTGCGGCGGGCTGCTTTTGCATTCCTTCCAGGTGGAGGTGGAGAGCCCGCGACCCACCCGCGACCCAAACCACGTTCACTGAACAAACCAATGCCGCACAAGCGCGGCGGCGGATTTTCGCATGCCGTTTGAGCCCGCAACGACCTCTCCAAGCCCCGCGCATCCACACCAGCCCGTCCAGCAACTTTGCCCTGGCGAGTTGCCTTGATCAGAGAAGCCGGGGAGCATAAAGTGGAACAAATGATTGCGTTGCCGTTATCTTGGGAACGGAGGGGGACGCAGGAGGAGTAAACAGGGGACGAGGAGGACGCGAAAGAAGAGAGGATGTAAGGATAATGTGGAGAAAGAGGAGGAGGAAGAGGAGGAGCAAGAGGAGCAGGAGGACGAGGAGGGGGAGGAGGGGGAGGAGGAGGACGAGGAGGGGGACGAGGGGGGAGGAGGGGGAGGAGGATGATGTTGGACGACAATGGGAGGACGATGATGGAGGCCGATGAGGGGGTGGACGACAATGGGAGGACGATGATGGAAGGACGAGGGGGGGAGAGGGAGGACGAGGAAGAAGAGGAGGAGAAGGAAAAGGTGGAGGAGGAGGATGACGACGACGATGACGACGGGGACGAGGACGAGGAGGACAGGAGGAGGAGCAGGAGGAGGAGGAGGAGAGCGCCATCGACAGGGAAGGTGGGGGCCACGAGGTCCGCCGGCTCGACGACGCCCGCGTCGCCCGCGCCCGCCCCCTCACTCTTATCCGCAATTGCAGGGTGCTACGTATATATACCAAGACTTTCACGGATTCAGGGCGGGTGGTTTTCAGAGTGTGGCTCTCGTTGTAACGCCGCGCGCATTCTTGTTACACACTTGCGAGAGCTTCACGGACTGAGGGCGGGCCGTTGTAAGAGCTGCACGGGCTGAGGGTGGGTGGTTTTCAGTATGTGATTCTCATTTTAGCGCCGCGTACAATTCGTTCTGATACTTTTGCAGCAGCTGCGCGGATGGAGGGCGGGTGGTCGGCTGAGCCCCGCACGCGTTCGCTGTCATTCGTTTCAGACATTCGCCAGCGTTTCACGGATGGAGGGCGGTTTCTTTTCAGAATGTGGCTCTCGCCTTAGCGCCGCGTACGTTCGTTCATGGGGTCCGATGGTCAACGCGCGGGAGAATTCTGTTCGGAAAGACTCAAGATTGTCGGATCGCCACAGTTAGGTTGATTCGCGGAGGTGAACTCCCAGGAAGTGTGTTGAGGCACGAGTCAGGATCGCCAAGACGTAAACGTTAGGATAACTCGTGGCGTCGAAGGTATGATAATGTTTTTGTTTGGTACGTTGCAGGGTTTTTGCGCAGTTGTCCCCCAACGGCGGGGCAATACCCTGAGTGGTAATGAGCACGTGTAGGAGCCTGTGGAGAGGGAGCTTCGGGGAGGGCTTCTTTCAACATCGTTGATGAGTCTTGGGTTTACACAGGTCCTCCCTCCCCTCCTCCTCCTTCTGTTGTCTTTGTCCACTCCTTCCTCCTTAAAAGTAATTTCCCCCTGTCGCACCCCGAGGCCAGTCGAAAGGGCGGGTGCGGCGTTTCGCTTGAGACTTCCTCACCATGTATGAGCCCGAAGCTTAAACATTGAGAACCGTTTCGCAAATGGAGGGCGGGTCGTTTCCAAACTGTGGCTCTCGCGTGAGCGCCGCGCGCATTCGTTTTGAACATGTGCAAGAGCTTCACGGATTGAGGGCGGTTCGTTTTCAAATGTGGTTCTTCGCGCCTTCCGCGCCGCACGCATTCTTTTAAACAACTTGCAAGCGCTTCACGGATTCAGGGCGGGTGGTTTTCAAAATGTGGTTCTCGCTTGACCGCCGCGCACATTCCTTTTAATTTCTGGCATACTCTTAGCTGATTGTTGGAGGGTGGTTTTCAAATTGTGATTCTCGCTTGAGCGCCGCGCGCTATTTTTTTTTTTGTTGATATTTTTGCAGGGGTTTCACGAATTGAGGGCGGTTGGTTTTCAACATGTGGTTATCCCCGGCGCGCGTTCGTCGGAGAAGATTGTAAGGGTTGCGTGGGCTCTAAGTGCCAGAAGTTCCCTCTGCAACGGTTACGTGGATTCGCGGTGGTGATGTTCCACGAATGGTGTTCTGGCGCGAGTCAGGATCGCCAAGACGTGCACATTCAGATAATTCATGGCGTCGAAATGCTGAGAATGGTGTTTTGGCACGCTTCAGGGTTTTCGCACAGTTGTCTCCCAGCGAGGCAATTCCATGCGTGCCAATGAACTCTTTTAGGGGCCTATGAAGAGGGAGCTTGGAGGGAGGGTGCCTTCCAACATCGCTGATGAATCTTCGGTTTCCACTAGTCCTCCTCCTCCTCCTCCTTTTCAATCCTCCTCCTCCCCAGCCCCGTGGCCCGCAGGACAGCGCCGTCACGGGCCATGTACTGAACTTCGAGGCGCCCCTTCAACCGCTACGAGCCAGGGGGGGGCTCATTCTGTTTTCTCGTACACACCCTGTTTTGCAGGTCGCTAACATACATATCGATTCATACAGTTGCCCCCGTCGTCCAGAGGGGTCGCGAAAGCTACCAGGGGCGTGCGTTGGTGACGCACGTCCGCACCTCTGCGGGGGCAGCTCGATGTGGAACCACCTTCTCCAGCTTGCGCTCTACAGTCCGCTCCATATTGCTGAGGCCTGGCGCGCCGAGGGTATCAGTAAGACACCCCAGTATGCAGATGTGACCCTGTGTCCTGCCACGACGTGCAGGCAGCGACTCCAGGAGCCAGCGTCAGTTCAGAATACACACTATCATCGGATGTTCTCCTTCGGATGGGACAAGGGCCGCCGCACGAACAAGAGTGCTGGGTGTGCGATCTTCCTTCGGAAAAGGAGCATGCGCCAACAACGCATATGCGAAGTGACGCCTGCGCCGACCGACATCGCAGGAAGAGGAGGCAT